ATTGCCTCCTAATTGTAATGGGTCCCCTCTGGCACCTCAAGGGCTTTGCTTTAAGCTCGTATCATGTTCATGGACAAAAGTAACTACCTTTAAAATCACAGTTGCACTTAAAATGGGGATTATCTAAAATAAGGCTTGTAGGCTGAGACAAAGCAATCCTTTCTCAAAAAGAGCCACAAATAACATTACACGGGTTAATTGCAGCCAACCAGTCAGCACTCGCTCAGCTGTGCTGGTTATTAAGAACCAAAATGAGGACAAATTACATAACTATATATATTTTCCAAAAAAAGCCATATCTTTTGATTTTGAAGGGGGGAAAAGCAAATCATCAGGGTTGGCTTCATCCACTTTTCCACAGGCTTTTGATTTTGTTTCTGCTATGGTATTTTAAGGAAAAGTTAACTCTTGCTCCTTACCAGCCACATGGGCCTTTGGAGCTTCATGTAAATGGAAACAAATCCTAGGAGGGGAATTTATGCCAGCACCTGCGGAAGACACAATTCGGGCAGGTGAGCACTCCCAAGCTGTACACATAACCTATATTTGGCCCATGTCACACAGTGCTGTGCTGGTGTCCTGGATGACCTGCTCACTTGCTATTTTTTCCTGTCGGGAATCTGATTATCAGCACTGTGGTGGCCTCGGTTTCCTCCCACAGAGGCCTGACAGCTCGCGTCACACCACACACTAGCAGGTTCAGATGCTTGGCCCCCTCTGGCTCTCTCCAGTTTACCAAAGTTATTCTCTGATGAGAAAGAAGTCACAAGATTACAAGGGACCTCGTGAGCTTTACCAGGAGCTGTGCAGTTTGGACTCTCACCTCACCACTGCTCCCTGCTGCCTTGGGGCACCAGGGGCCATGCTGGGAGAGCAGTATCCTTGGTACTCATCTGAAGAGATCCGGATTAGGAGAGTGAAGAGTGTGTGCTTGCTTTCCCACTGCCTCTCCCACATGAATGTAAGAGAGAAATGCACTTGTCCATCTCAGCCATCATGAAGCAGGACCACACAGATGGCTCTGTTTTGCAGACATACAGGACATGTCCCCCACCCACTGAAGAGTCATGCTGGACTGTATTTGCCAAGATCCACTATCTTCTCCTAGTTACCATGAGAAAAGAGATCAGTGCTGGAGCTGCTAATATGATTCAGCTGCAGATGGACAGGTAGCATTTTGGTACTTGGATCTGTCACTCTCACGTCTGCTGGAGCCCAGCAAATCAATTACCTTAGCCCAAGTATCTTACTTAACTCTTCAATGTTAATGACTACCACTTCATCCTACACTCACCACAGCTCTTCTACTAGTGAGTGGTGTTACAAGACTCAAGTGTCTGCTTCCATACTGTCCAGCACCCTTCATCCAGGGGACTGCAGGGAAACTGCAAAGTGTTCTGGAACTCCACCAACAGGGAGAAACACACCCCAAACACCAAATTCCTCTGATTTAGGAAAACACAGGAATAAAAACAAGATTGATTCAATCCAGAATGAACAAATGATTGTATCATGGCAACTTCATAACAAGAAGATGCTTTTGCGTTGCAGTCTCTTCCAGTACATCAGTTGCCTGAGATTTTTCTGTTTATTTTTCCCTGATGAAGATTAGGAACATTGCTGACAGGCCAACACTGTCCATATCATTACTAGTTATTGCTGGGATATTTGCATAACACTGACAGCCATAAATTATGCCAGAAGAAATAACAAAACAGTGTTCTTGATGTATCCAAGGATATGGCTAAAATAAGGCTTTTAGCCTGACCTATGTTATTAAACCCACTGGTCTAGTTGGGAAAAATCAATAAGCTTTCAAAAGGTCCAAAATAGAAGCAGCAGCCTTGAAAAAATAAAAATCAGCTGGGAACAACTGATCTAAAATTTAGTTAGATTTGTATCAATAAGACCCCCTGAGAGAAAACAGATGGTACCTGTGATACTACAGGAGATTCTAAAAGGAAATGAGAAGGCAGATAATGTAGAGTTTGTGGAATAAGTAGGACATGTCAGTGAAAGAAAAGGTTAAAAGTTGTCACAGACTCTCTCTGTTTTACTGTATTGATCACCTAAAGAAGTTTAAATAAAGGAAATTCAGACTTTTCCAACTTTGCTCAAGGGTCTCGGCCAGTACTGCATTAGTTAGGAAAAAAATGGTATTTATCATGGGTCTTGGTGCCCATCCCTATAATCCAGGCACTGAGATAATGCCAATGCAAACGTATCAGTGGAAAGAGCCTGGAGATGACACATTTTCAATATCAGACATTTTTCTGTTGTCAAGAAATGTAAGCAGTGTATGGACAGATGTGGAAGACTGCACTTTTCCTACCTTTTGAAAATTAAAAAAAAAATGTTTTCTGTGATTTTATCAAGACAGTGGGATTCGGGCGTTGATAGAAATGACCTTGTATTTCTTGCTATTATCACAGACTTCATATCTTCTGCATTTTGCTTTGAGCTTAAGATATTGGTGAATCCAGAAAACTCTGAATCTGTAAAAGCTGTTCCAGAAGAACCCATTAAGGCTGGTTTCTAACTAAAGGGTATGTCATCCTGTCCCCAGCTGGAAATGTCCTGAATTCTCTCCCATCAGAAACTACACATAATTCAGTAAATCCAACATGGGAATGGCTTCTCCCAGACAGATCACCTCTCACCCTGGTTTCTCACCTTCCTCTTCATCACAGGTTGGCCCAGATTTCCAGAAAGACTGGGAAAACATTTTGTGACCTTCAGCTAAAATTCTGGACCTGCAATCAGAGCTCTCTGCCCTCTCATGCTGCTGAAGAGCCTGTGCAGCAACACGTCCTGCAGCCCCTCGCCTGGAGGAAGGAAAGGGGATCCCCCTTTCCCAGGGCCCAGGGCAGTGACCAAGTGCCATTGCTTCAAGTCCCCTCTTGGTGCCCCTCCAGCTGGCACACAGCCTCCCTGCCAAACCCAGGGGAAGCAGAGCACATGAACCACATCTGGCACAATTCCAGCATTCCTCAGGGAAATCTGCGTTGAGTGCTAAAATAATCACAGCAGCCCAGACTTGTAGGGATGCAGTCTCCGGAGACACCAAATAGGCCAGTAGCTTGTCAGGAAAAATGCCAGCAAACGCTGCAAAGACAGAGAGGGAAGAAGCAGTCCCAAGAGAAGTACAGAACACAAAAAACAAGGCAGAGGGATAATTCAGAATACTTGTATCATTCAAGGTCATGTGTGTCCCTTCTGCACCAAACAGCAAGTATGTGCTGCTCCTCTTACAGTCACACCCAGGTTGCTGTTACCGATGAGCAGAGACTGCTTTATCTCAATTTTTTTCTTCTATTTCAGCTTTCAACTGCATTTTGTGCATAATCACAGTCACCATTCCCTTTGTATGTGTTCTTAGTTGTTTTTTTTGTTGGTTTTTTTTTTTTTTGGGGGGGGGTAGTTTTAGTATTTTTATAATAACTGATTATTTAGTTTAGTGATTTGTGTAGCATTTTTGTCAACTGAATTTTTGTTTGTTTTTTTTTTTAATAAACCTTCCTGAAACAGCAGCTCATGGTGCTCCTTTAAAGTGAGGGACTCTAGGGGAAAAATGCAGCTCAAATGATACAGGCACACATCTGGATGACTTACTAATAAAACAATTCTCCCTTCAAGGACTAGAAGAGCAAACAGACACTTGTTTATGCTCTGCCTGTGAGCAACTTCACCTTTTTACATTACTAAACTTGAGTAGGATGGATGAAAGGCAAGAATCAGATGAAGGCAAGAAGAATCAGCATGGATAAATCAAAGACATGAATATATCTACTAGAGAAGTCCTAAAGCAACTGGTTCTCATGACCCTAAACTCCAAATGGCTTCCACAGGGTCTGGGAGAGGTCTGAAAGCTTTAAGCAACATAGGGACAACTGACTGAAGAGAAACACATGGTGGTGCTGATGCTGCAAAGCAACCCTGAAGTTATAACATGAAAAAGGCACAGAGGAAAAGTGTGGTCTTCCTGGGAATACTAATCCTTAGAGAGGAAGAAAAAGGACAACTTCTTCCCATATCAATGGAACAATCCACTAGGGACAATTTTAATAGTATAGATGGGAACCTGAAAGTAAACTAGAGGAAAAGCATAAAAGCATGGCCTTCTACAAACATAAATGAGAGAGTGACAGCAGAGCAACAACCTGCCAGTCTTGCAACATTGGGAAGGTCTGAACCATGCTGTAGACGACATGTATGCTGGAATTTTGTTTCCATACTGAAATTCATGCGAACTGTTCTCACAAGAAGTTACTTAAAATATCAGGGATCCAGAGATATTCTGATTCCCAGGGGTTCTTAGTCCACTCCACAAAATGGAAGCATTGGAAATTAAGATGACCCTTAAAATGACCCAGATTCCCCAATCACAACCAGAGACTCCTTGTAGATTTGGAGAAATATTTGGAGACTGTATCATTATGTTACTCAACCACCTCTCACCAGCCATGTTTCACTGCTGTCTAGCCTGTAATGAGCAGAAATACATTCTTCTTCAGAGGCAAACAAAAACCAGAAATCACCCAGCTCGGGAAAATAGTATTAAACAGATCTGATAGAGCACTGTGAAAAAAACTCAACAACTGAATAAAAATATCAAGTGTGCTCTGCTCCACAAATGCAGAGGTGCCTACAGTATTTGGTTAGTGCAGGGCACACGCCTTTGACACAGGAATGTCAAATAAAAAACCCCATACAATTCAAATGACAAACTGTCTTAGCAGTTAAGGATTTACCCAGTGTTTGGAGTAAACCCTCTGAGGGATCTTCTGCTTTCTTATACCAGACCTGTGACCTTCCTGTCCTTTGGCTCAAGGATAAAGATGACAATTAAGGCATACATCAAGACACCTGGAAATACTGCAGGTTTTCTTACAGCAGAGACTTAGGGGGCTGAAGCTGTGGTGTCTCAGCCCCATCACAGATATAGCAATGGGAAGCAGGAAAAAGAGACTTAAGTCCACTCCTTTCTTTCTCAAAGCAAATCTTAGCACCAGTAGTCAGAGCTGAGACTAGAAATAGACACTAGCCTGCTGCTGACAAGGAGACGGCCATAAGGTCTGACTTCTCCTGGTCTGCTTCTATCACAGTATCACTTGTATTAGCTGATAGCACTCAGAATATCTTTTATCACCCATTCCAGCAATCCCACTGAACAGGTGCAACGCAGCATCACAACGTACCCACGGGTGTCAGTGCTCCAGATCTATCTGCTCCTCATATGAGATTGCTTGCTCTTCCTAAATTACATAAGGAAATATTTCCAGGGAAAAAGCAGCCTTCGAGAGCACTTTATTCAGAGTACACAATATAAATTTAAGGCCAGATCCTTTAAAAGGTGGGTTCATATGTAACATGGTTTGCTACTGCTGAAGCAGCCTTGTTTTTCATCAGCATCCCAGTTATTGCTTTGTCAGTTGTTGTGTCTCTCTTGGTGGCATCAACAAGACAAGCAGCATCAAGCATACTGCAAGCTGCCATGACTTAGCCTGCTATAGGGAAACTGTGCCATCAAGTTTCAGTACACCTCTAGAAGAAAAGCCACTCCTGTGGAAACAGGCTGGCAGCTTCCAGAGCTGACATCTCTCACTCATACATAGAAGGTGAAAATAAAACACAAGATGGTGTCAAAAACACTTTCCAGCTGATACTAGGAGGTAAACTAATTATTTTAAATGTGAAAATCCATCATCATTTAAAATTTTCAGCAGAATTAAGTTTAGATTTACCTTTAGATTTGATTAGAAGTCAGTGTACATTCTGTAAAGAACAGTCACTGCAAGTATTCTATTTAAGGATTCTTCAGTTATTCACTTTAAAAAAAAAGAAAAAAAAAAAAAAAGAAAAAATGGAACGGTATAAAACCCCCTGTGTCCCTTCTTTAGTCCTGTTTGCTTCTCTTACTTTCTTGCAGAACGGTTCTTTATACCTGTGAAGTACACGATGAAATGGAAACTGTACTAGCACACTGGCAGAACACTCTTCTCTGTGTGTAAACTGTACGGTAACAAAAACTGCATAGAAAAAAAGAACAACCCAAAGCTAATACCTGTCCAAGTCATATAAAACCATTTTCAAGTGATGGCTGTCTTGACCAGCACCAACTAGAAACACAAACCCCATAGTTTCAAAAGGGCAAACCCTAAATTGTTAGGGCAGGTTGGGAAGGCAGACAATAAAAAGAGGCAAATCTTAGGACTCCAAGAAGAAATTTTGGTGGAAGATAAGCCATGCCCCATCAGATTTATCTCTCCTTTAGGGAAATTGTACCAAGTCAATTTAACTGACAGAAAATTCCTGTGTGCTTAAGGGATTAACTACTTATTGCAGATACCAATATCTGCCTGTCAGCTTGTGTAATGTCCCTAATGCAGAAGTTTTGGCACTGGTAGCAAAAAGCACTGACATTAGACTCCATAAGCAGCTGTAGGATAAAATATGAAGCTAAGTTTAAATGTGTAAGCATATATACTGCTTAGTTTACATAAAGTCAGAAGTGCATTCCACACCAAGACAAATGGGCTGATTTTCAAAGTGTTATGTCTGCTGCTGTACTGGAGCTGGATTTATATAGCTCAAAAGCAAAGCAGAAAATTCAAAATAAGCATGAGACTTCAGGGTTTCACTGTCAAACTCTGGATATCACCTGACACTCAAAGTAAAAAACAAGGTTTGTTTCTTTTATTTCCTAGTTACTAGATACCCATTCTGCTGTTCATGCCATCTGCTTGCAAGAAGACTACTGGAAAATAAGGAGCTGTTCTTATAGGATGAACATACTCTTGAGCACTCGCATTGCTTTAAATTTTTATATGAGGGCCTGATACACTTTTAGCGCTATCAAGGGAAAAGACCAGATGATGAAACTGCTTGCCAGCTTGTCCCCAGCTTGCGCACAGACGATGGTGGTGATGCAGCAGAACTGGCTGGCAGGGGCAGGTTGTTCTCCTAACTAAAGAGTCACAGCTTTTTCTTTATGCTCCTCACACACACTCAGAAGTACTGCATTCACAATACTGGCAGCTCGTGGCTGTAGGTCTTCTCTTTGCAAGAAAAGAAGTTAGACTGTTCTAATAAGGCGACATTTTAAAGAAAGATGACTTGCTAAGGGCACATATTTTTATCACTGAACCAACTGCTTCAAAATGTATGTCAAGTGTCTAAATTAGTTATGACACTGGTTTAAGATGTGCTGTTAAGAAAGAAATTAGGTTCTTTAAATTTACCTTCTGAATTTTGTGCCATTTACTATTCATGTTTTTAAGGTTTTGCTTATAGCCAAGCCATCCATTTCTGAAAGATTCTTACTCTCCACAGGACCACAGCAGCTAACTTTACCACAGCTAAGCCACTCTGATGGAGCAGAGAGAGTACACTGACTGCGCATTACATAAGTCACAGAAGGAAACAACGGATACAACAAAGCTGGCGTTCTGCCTTTCTCTTTATCTTGTGAATTTGTTTCACCTGGGGATTGCTGGCTTGAATGAAATGTCTCTATTTTCTCACCAGCAATCTACCTCACATTAGCAGGATGTCAAAGGAAAATACCAGCTCATGATGTCACAAGGGAAAAAAATGACTGTTCTGGCTCCTGGACAAATGACGTAGGAATGACAATGGACCTGTGTTTACTTAACCTATGTAGAAGCAGGCTGGGGGTAGATCTGACTACATTCTTCCACTCTCGGAAAGGAGTTAGAGTGAAGACAGAACCAAACCTCTCAGATGGACATAGCAAAAGAATAAGGCAATGATCACAAGTTGGCAGCAAGGTTAATTCTGATAATGGAATGGTTTTCACAGTGAGATTACTCAAGCACTGGAACAAGTTGTTGTGGCCCTTCATCCTCAGAGATGTTCAAAATTTGACTGAACACCTCTGACAAAACTGCTTTGGCTTTGGATCAGACAACCTCCAGAAGTCCCCTCCAACCTGTGCTCTCCATGGTTCTGTGACAGGCACATCACAACTTGTCACACAGCTCACATGCACAGGAGGAGCAGTGACACAGCCAACAGACAGATCTGGTGATTACCACTTAACAAATCAGCTTACATCAGAGCCTTGGTGCTCAGATTTCCTTTGTAATGCCCAGCTTTTATCCCCACCCTTATGCTTCCACTGTACAAGGTCTTGCTCAAACCATCCTCTACTGTTGTGCTACGTACTTGTAGCAGACTACGTACTTTGGATTTCTGCTTCTTGGGATTTCCTGGAACTCTCCCAGGGAATCACCTGGGAGGGCACTGGGCAGACAGTATCCATTTTCCCTTTAAACCAAAATCAAGGGGTGATGGTTTCCACTTGAATGTGATAAACAGGAAATCTTTGGGATACAAGGGTAATGAGAACCTGCAGCAGACATAACATAAAACAAATAAAACCTGCAATTAATCTGAAAACTATTTACTCTCCCACTGCTTACACCCCACTGTTAATCCACAAGCATTAACACGTCCCGTTGATCACAGTTATTGTCTTAACTTGTATTTGCTACTGAAGTTCACTGGGTTTATTTCAGACCTGAAGAACAGATGTGGCCATGGGTCAGGTGCCAGCATATTGCTCTGATCCACTTCCTGTGAAAATAGAGTATGATGCACACAGTCTTCCAGAGGCTACTCTCCCAGCAGTTATCCACCTCTCCAGAGAGACATGTGAGTCTTATACATAACAGGACAAGTAAATTCGGATTTGTCTGCAGGAAGCACTAGATCACTTCACTTCCTGTATCTAGAATTCTGCCTCTTTCTCTTTCAGACTTCCCTAAAACCAGCCCAATTTCAGAACATTGCCAAATTCTGGTCTTGAACAGAAAGACTGGGCTTTAGGTCAAGCCTTTCACGTATACTACTATTCAAAATATCATTATACTGGTATTTTCAGCCTCTACTTGTTTCTTTAATACATTAGATGCAACAAACTCTCCTTATCCTAATCCTCTGTAAGCTTAGTTAAAAATGGATTATAATGTGCCAAAAAGCGATTCCTACAGTTAAGATCTTCAGAAACAGCTCCTGAACCTATAAAATGAATATCTGTCTCTTTGACAATTTTTAGCAGACTGACCTCTGAAATATGCTTTACTTTTTAAAGTCTGCGTCCTGGGGGAATTTTAGCTCTTTTTTTTTTTTTTTTTCCCCTCACCTGTCTGCAAACATTAGAGGGAAAAACTTCACCAAGCCTATATTTTGTTTGGCAAGTGCTACTCATGAGACAATTCAAAAGACATGGGCATTAACTGAATTAACAACTAGAAATGCTATTGTTATACTCCAATGTTATTTTCAACCACTGCATGGTAGATCTGGTGGAAATCATAAAGAAAAGCTTAAAATGCAAGGCTGGGAGGCTGGGAATCTGGACACTCCATCCAGAGCAACAGTTTTGCACTTGCCTGTAACTGCTTTTGCTTGAATGAGTCTCTCTTCTAGGTAGTTTTCTAATAGTTTAACTTCCCAGGCTTAATCTGGGAGCTTTATGCCATTTGGATTTTGGTCAGAAAGTTTGCCAAAGAATAGATTCATTATCTGTCTCTCCAAGAGCATAGATGAACAAATCATTATTTCCTTTGTAACCACTTGTTAGATTTATTAAACTGAACATGTGCTATGCCTTTGTGCTTTTGGAGGAGCTAATTTTTGACCTAGTTGTGGGCTGCTCTAGCCACGGTACTTAAATGGCCTATTTTCCTGTCCTAATTTCCCTTTCTCAATCTACAATGCTCCAATGCACTAAAAAAAAAAAAAAAAAAAGACTAAATAATTTTGTACATTTTTTGTTCTCTGTAGAGAAGTACCTCCAATCCAAACAACATAGACAAATTTATTCTGTATGCCTGACTTGTCTCTCCATCCCGTCTGGCTCATAATGATCATCATGAAACACCACCACAACACCTTTGTGTCAACCTGTAAGACAGCAAAGATTCACCCAACAGCTACACCTACCCATGTGCTATTCCTCACTGCCTGGTGCCAGAAAGGGCTTCTTTAAGGTGGAGGATGGGATGGCACAAGCGCAATAGCACTGCTGGGAACTAGTTTTGTTCCAGGAAGTAGGGAGGACGTCATGACTGCACAGAAACAACATGGCACAGCCAATTCATTACTAACACGTCAGGAAATAGTTGGGGTATATCCACAGGACATTTGTGCTGAATTTAAAAAAAAAAAAAAATCTCAATTGTTGCTGCAGATAACATTTCAAGTGTATGTTTTATTGACTCCATATGTTTAGTCATAGGTTAGTGACAACTAAGGTGACTCACTGACATGACTCAATAACTGAGGCCGTTCAGGTGACTGAGGTGACTCAGATTTCCCTGTTCAATGACACAAGAAATGACAGGACATTGGAAACTCTACATCCATTGAGGGACATGGTTGATGATAACCAGCATTTTACTTCACAGACTTTGTTGACAGATTCTACAGTTGTCATCAAACTTCAGACATACTTAACCGTCCCAGGGACAGGAACATGATTTAATGGTCAACTACAAAGGTAGGATAAGACCTTCATTTACTCCAAGTTAAGCCAGCTGAAACCCTGTCCTTTTGTGTGTATACACTATTCACCTCAAGCCCACATCTAAATATGTCAACTGTACACAGTAAATACTACTCATGGAAACAACTGGCTTTTCTTAACCCTCTTTTTCCCCTCCCTGATTTTGATGTGCATGAGGGAGTTCATACAAACAACAGGGAAAGAAAAATGACTTTGCAAGACACGGAGTGAAATAAAATACTCAAAGTGCTATCAACAACTCATTGTAAACTTGGGAAAAAATAAAGCTATAAAAATCAATTTCTGCAAACAACGTTTCAATCATAGTATTTCAGACATGCTATAATAGGAGGGAGAAAGAAAGGAGGTCCCAATTTCCTAATTTTAAGACAACGTATATACTTAAGGAGAATTTTGTATATCCTTGAGCCTTTACATTTCAAGCTTGTGCCTCGGAAGGGATACAGACATTATGAGTTCAGACACATAATAAGTAACAGAAACCAGCAGCAATCATGGGGTCACAGGCTACAGAAACTGAAGAGATTTGCCTACAAGCTGAGTTTGCATTCATATTGTTTCAGCAGACGGCCCCATGCAGAAAACCTTCCAAAACCAATGCAGCTGCTGGGAGTTTACAGGGAAAGGAAGAGTAAACTACCCAAACAGCTTCATTTGAAGCTTTTCTGACTAGTAAGAAGTGTGCCAGCATTGAGCCTCAGTAACTCTGTGTTTTCACTCCCCTTTCCCTTTGCAGGAGTGTTTACTTTTTGTACTGTCTTGTAAGTGCACATCAGCAGCATAACAAGTGCCCAGTGTACTCTCCCCCCCGCTGCAGTTTCCCATGAAAGAAAGACTAATTCACACTGTTTGTAGCTCCTCCTGTTGCCAGCAGTGCCATTGAAACACACCAAAGAAGGTCAGGAGAACAAAGACTGTGCAAGGAAGCGGAGAATAAGCATCAGAAAAAAAACTGAGGGAAGAAAAGGAGAAGGCGTGTTCTGCTCTTGGTTATGTCTGGCAGCTCCGTATTCATGTAGCAGATGGGAGTGCAGCATTTATCCCCTACAGAGACAAAGGCTGAGGATCCTCACTTAGACCAGCTATTTAAATAATCTTAAAAAAAAAAAAATCAAATAAACACTATCCATGTTTTCCCTACAAAGGGGGAAAGATTTCCCTCCAGCTCCAGGAGGCCCTTTCCATAACTAACAAACTATAATTAGTCATTTAAAAGAATTAAGCCAATTTAGTTCCAGCTAGAATACAAGCAAAGTGCTAAAGCCTGATGTGGAATGGGAGCACAGATGCACTCCTAACCATTATTAGAAACTACTAGAAATCAGCAAAAGTATTATTCTAAAACCAAATTTCTACCATAACTTGTGAATGAAATTGGAAGAGGGTGGGGGAGGGAGAACTAGACCCCTGCTACATTCAATTGTCATAGCTCTACTTATTTAATTGGAGCCTTTGATTGTTTATACCAGCTGAACTGTGCCCCAGAGTTTATGGTCAGAGGTGGCTAACATGGTTAGATGCCTACCTGAACACGAAACAGTAAACATTTAAGAGGTACTTCCCACCCACAAAGGGCTGTAAGAGCTGGGTCCCTTAATAAGAAACACCAGCATTAATTAAGAAAGTGGAGGTACATCTTTTAATAATTAACTGTGAAAGAGATCTCCTAAGACTAAGGGCAGCGGATGATAATATTGAATAATTCAGCACTATAACCAAAGGAACAGTGGTACAGTAACTTTAGATGTGAGCATTTGCAACAAAATCCAACAAAAACATTTGATATGCTGATGGATTCTTGTGTTCAGGAAAGGGTATACATTCAAGATAGTCTTTCCTATTAAGTAGACATTGAACAATTTCTAAAAAATGTTTTTTTTCAACAAAATTAGAAACAGCTGGTAAAATTGCACTGAACCAAATGACTTTATACTGGGTTTATGCTCTGCCAGACTTGGGCCAAAAGATCAGAAGCGTGGGCCAGTAAAGGCAGTAGTTCCAGTCAGTAGATCTGCATTCCCAACAGGCCAAATAAGCCACAATATCAAGTCAGTTTAACTATCAAGGGGAAAAAAAACACAACAAACCAACAGATTCTTAACTCCTGTCACTTCTAAAAACTGCAGCAGCAGTGTCTGTCAAGTTTAGAAACAAACATACATAAAACTTCAGCAGCTGTTGAGCATTCAGATTTAATTTGTGGTCACAGATATTGGAGAATTTTAATTTGTTAACTGTCTAGCAGCTGAGAGGTAGATATACATCACTAAAAAAAGAGCGTTTGCTATTGCATGAGAAAAAAAAAATGTGTGTTATATTTAATTGCAGAAGTCTGGCAAAACATCAAAGAGCACGGAAAAAAGATGTTTAAAATAAAAAAAAAAGAAAAACAAAAGATCTGAATGACAGACTAGGAGAGACAAAGCTGCTGTTCAACCTCTCTCTGTCTCACTGCTGGCAATGATTATTTGCCTGCTGGGGCTTCCCTTAGCAGATGAAGGCCAGCCAAATTACAGAAAACAAAATGCTTTTGGAATTTCCTCCTTGAACTCTTTTGATGACAAGTTCCTATTAAGAATTGTTGTGAATTCATCAGAAAGTAGATGCAGCTTCCTCTGCTTACTAGGAACTGACCATCCCAACTTCTTCTCTGGCACCAAACCCCGATAAAGTAAAACTACTGTGCAATGTACTCCTACAGACATCTCGAGGGAGAAACACGTCTCTTTGTCTCTTTGTGAATCATAGCGAAAAAGATAAGAAACTATCTTGGGCACTAATCCTGCAACATGTGTCCACGTTGAAATAGCTGGCAGTTATTAGATTTATTGTAGCTATTAAAAGCATCACTCAGCAGAGCCCAGCCCATGGCGACTGTGGAGACAGGATTCTGGAGGGTCCTAGCAAACCAGGGCACCACTCGAGCCTATCAAGAACAGGAATAAGAACTAGGTACCGAATAGCAGGAAATTACTGACAGACGGTTCTGTAAAGTGAAATAATTGTAAGCGAAAACATTTAACCCTCAAACTAAGGAAATCTACAGACGTAAACATGTAATGAGGCCCACTGGAAACATGACTTAGTAAAAAAATGTTTAAGGAAGTATTAGAATTAAGTGTGGACAGTGGTAGTGTTGGGTCGCTGGTTGAACCTCACGATCTGAAAGGTCTCTTCCAACCCTGATGATTCTGTGATTAGCTGGTAAAACTAATCGCACTCCGAACACTTTCACGGCCTGCACAAGTAAATCCCTGGATGTCTCTTGGGATTACACAGGCCATCGACTGTAGGTACGTGCCGCCCTGGGCGAGCCGGCGGGGCAGGAACTGCCCGTGTCCCGCACAGAACCCTCCCCCCGCAGGCAGCGCAGGCACCCAGAGCCGCGGGGCAGGCGGCGCTGCGGGACCGGGGCCGCGGCGGAGCGGAGGAGGCGAGGCCCACGCGTGTGTCGTCACAATAGCGGGGAACGCGGAGCGCTCCCGCCCCCCCGGGCCGCACCGGGCCCGCCCCCCGGGATCGCGGAGCGGGATCGCGGCGCCGCCAGACAGCGGCCGCCGCCGTGACGTCACCGCCCGCATTTGCATACGTTTACCTTTGCGCCCGGCGGCGGCCAATCAGCGGGCGCGGCTCACCTGCTGCGGCCGCACCCGCGCGCTCCGGGGGCGGGGCTGCGGCCTCCTGGCGCTGCCGCGGGGCTGCGAGCACTGAGGGGGGCCGCGGGGCAGTCGCGATAGTCGCGATGGCGTGCGGGGGCTTCGCCTGCTCCAAGAACTGCCTCTGCGCCCTCAACCTGCTCTACACGGTGCGTGCTGGGCCGGGCCGGGGCTCCCTCGCTCCGGCGCCGGGTGGGGAGGGGAGGGTCGCCGCGGTTCTCCCGGCGGGCCGTGGCTGCGGGGCTGGGGGCGTTTCGGGGCGCGGCCGCCGCTCTGTCGCGGCCTTCGTCTCGGACGGTGGGATGAGATGGGGGTGGTGTGTGTGAGGAGGTGACAGCGCTTAGGCCGAGCTTTGTCACCGTGCGGACGTGGCTCCTCGGGATCAAAATCCAGGGCGATCCGGGAGCGCTGCCCGCCCGGGGCGGCGGGGAGGGGCGGCGAGGTCTCATCTGCCGGAGAGAGCGGCTCCGAGGCCCGGTCCCCCCATGCCTTTTTTCTCCGTCTGGAAAGGGCGCTGCAGCAGTCCAGGCGTGAGGCAGGGGAGGGTTTGTTTTGTTATTCCTTAGCCAGGGAGCAGCGCCGAAATAAGTGCAGCTCGGTCAGTGACAAGGCCCCCAGGCCGCCCCCACTGTCCCCTGGGATGGACCTGGGAGCGGCAAAGTCCGGCTGCTTTGGGTGGTGGGAATATACGTGTGTGGGGGGAGGGAAGTCGTATGTTAAACTGAAATAACTGACCTGCTCAGAAGCCCCGGGCAGATGCCTGGTTTTCGATCTGGCCTGTTGGAGGACCTGTTTTCGACAGAGAACGATAAAATCTCCAGTTGTGGTATAGGTGAGGGTTTTTTCTCCCTCATTATCTATTTTTAAATGACACAGAAATAGCAAGAAACAGGAGTAAGTGTAATGGCATCCTCTAACAGCACATCTGGAGAGGTGGTATGTCCTCTAACGTTTCAGGTTAACAACTGTGCTTCGGGATGAGTTTCAGCAGACTGAGACTGGGGCCAGCCAGTGCCTGTGGGCAGTTCTGTCGGTTCTTTTCCAAAAGCACTGCCTGACCTCGGCTGAAGGCAAGAGGGGAGAACAAACAGGTCTAATGCTGTTCATCAGGACAAACAGTTCTCACAGCTGGTGGTTACTGGACCTGAGGGTAATCCTCAGGATGAAGCATGAATGGATGTAGAAGTGCCTGTGCTGAAGCCATAGCTGGTTGTTGTTATATTCTTTGGTGTATGAGGTGACCCCTCCTTTCCTCAGCAAAGAGCAGAACAGAAACCTTTATGTAGGAGAGGCTGCACTTCTGCTTGTTCTCCTCCCTTGTAGGAGCTTGTAGAGTGGAATATGTCCCTGAAAAAGTATGTTTAGGCAGCCCAGCCTACCCCCTGTGAAAGTCAGCTGAAATCCCTGAGATGCCTTCTCTTGCCCATGCTACCCCCAGCCAGAATAAAGGTGAGCAGGTAGGCATGGCAGTGTTTGGTATCCGTAGTTGAAGGTAAGTTCAGGGTATGTAGACTGCCACAACTGCAAGCTAAGTTAGAATCATAGAATAGCCCAGGTTGAAAAGGGACCCCGATCATCATCATCAACTTTTTCTGGGATTTTCCAGTCCCAGAGGCTGGGTTATAGTTGGATTGTCCCATCCCAATTTCACTTTTCGGTAAACAAGAGGTTAATGCGAGACTTCATTTGTTATTATTGTTATTATTCCTTGAGTGACAGAAGAGTGAGAGAAATCTCAATCTTTCTCATAAGTGCACAAATCTCATTGTGCTGTGCTATGGACAGCATGTGTTTTTTTTTGAAAGACTCCATCACTTAATTCCTATATTAACCAGGTGTAAGGAGTCTGTTAGGTCTTCTGGGTATATCTGGTCTCAGCAAGAGCGGGTTGATCTTTAGGACCTCTGTAGTTCTGTCTGTGATACATGTACAGTTCACCTATGACCTTCATCTTGCTCTGATGAGTAGAATTTACTTTGTGGGTGTCACTTGGTGTTCCGTCATTTGGCCTATGCAGAACATATATTTTTGCTGAAGGGAAGGAATGACTTCTTTGAATGATAGTTACTAAAATATCCAATTCTTATTGCTAGTCTTGTTTGTAAATTACAGACGAGTTAAAATTTGAAATTGAGAGTTGCAGAAATAATATTTAAGGTGCTTACTTGGCCTGGTGGAGTTGATCTGGTAAAATGTGTGGGCTTCTCTGTTGCTTGGTTAGATGAAACCTGACAATTCAGGACTTGGGTTACAAGAGCACGCTGAATGATGGGCTTATTTTCCCTCAGCTGGAAAAAAAACATGGAAGGCAATCAGAGCAATAACTTCATCTTTTTAAACAATGTTAATTCACTAAGAAGTGGTGAGAAGGGAGTAGTGGGGGTAAGGAGAGATGGGTAACACTTCTTAAACGTTGTTGTAGCCAGCACTGATGTCTATATGACATGCTTGGAATGAATTAAGCCTCAGAACTGTATATTGGCTGTTACGGCTTATATTTTGCCTTTATTTAAAACACTCCTAGAATAGGATGTTATATTGGAGCTTTTTCTTTTTTCTTTTTTTTTAAAGTGCTGTCTTGTTTTACTTTTTATAGTAGTACATCAATAAAAATATATGTCCTGGCAGTAATAAATCAGTTACTGGTTTAAGGCAAGAAACCAGAAACCCAGTAACCTTATTGCTCACTTAATGTTCTTTTCAGATGTTACTTTGCTGGTGACTTTTGGTTCTTCTCTGGACTAAGTTAATGTCCTTAAGCCCTGATTCTATTTTTAAATTAATTTATATTTTGGCATTATACTGCGTCTTGCTGACTTCAGTATGGTTCCTTATGGGTAGAGAAAGAGTAAAGAAGAATTATTGAGCCTGTTTATTGACTCTGTGCATATAGTGACGTATATTGCTGGAATAAAGCCTTCCGTGGAAGAACTGTCTGCATACAATGACCTTTAAAATAATAGTTTTGGATATCTGACTAATTCTGTCTTTATTTATTCGGTCACATCTACATTTCTCATCAAATGGAAAATCTATACAAATTGCGTAAAATGCCTGTCTGCAAAATTAATCCAGATTCAAGGATGTATTTGCAGCTAAAGACTTCTAATCTTCCAGGTATGAGAACTCTAGATGCTCACTTTAAGCAGACAAGGATTTCTGGACAGTGTTCCTTCCAAGGAAGTCTTCAGTAATTTTGTTTAAGTGTGAACAGTTAATATCCAATTTCAAATCAGATTTTCAGAGAGGAAAGGGAAATTCCAGAGTCCTAACTAGTGGTGAAAGATTGAAGTGGTAGGTGGGCCTTATGATTAAATATTTAAATAAATAAATAAAAAGAAATACTGGCAGTTCATTTGAATGTTGTGTGCTGGTTTTGTCACCCGAGCAACTACTTAATTATTGCTGCAGCACCAAACATGAAACGTTTGTTGTCGGTATGTAAACATCTCATATTTGTTTTGATGATGCAAGCTTTTAGTTTTTCTTACACCTAGAGCAGCCACTTGATTTAAAGTAAAATGTGTGGTACCTTTACCATTAGAATACCATTTTTATTAGCACAAAGCTCATCCCCCAAAAGCATTCACATTTCCTCTTAACACTAGAAAGTAAGTTATCAAAGTAATTTTCTTTTTATATTACTTTGCTCTCTGAAACTCTTTTATTATTTGCCTGTTAAGTGTCCTGGTTTTTGCATCCATTTTCAAAGCATTGTGCTTGAAAGTTTGGTTTTTTTCTTCCCCCGCCATCACTGCATCTTGTTTTCTGGGCACTGTAATTAGTGAAATTGCATTTGTACTTTCTGCCTTCTTTATCAAAATTGCTTTGCTGATATCTTGGGAATATGGAAACATGAGTACAGAAATTCTCAGATTCTCACACAACATGTGCTTGGTTGGCATCGTAGAATTTTTTGGTTTGGAAGGGACCTTAAAAACCATGTAGGTCCAATCCCCCTGCCACAGGCAGGGACCTTCCACTAGACCAGGTTATTTAAAGCTCCATCCAACCTGGTCTTGAAGATTTTAATAGAGTTTTTAATTCATAGGGCTTTTTGTAATGTTTGTCTTACATGCAGAGTTCCTGATGCAGAGGAGTGACTGTGTTGCATCTTCCATGCAAATCTGTCTGCTCCATCTTTTTGCTGCGTAGAGGAAACCTGGTGTTAAGAGACAGGGTGAACATCTGGATTTTCCTAGGGAAAGAGAGTGTGACTTTCTTCCGTATCCTCTGATAATTCCTGACTATGTAGTGGCTACATGGAACCAGGTACAGGCAGCCAGAAATGAGAGAAACACAGTTCTTGCCTTATGTGGCAGTTTCTTTCACAGTGGTAAGTGGATCTGTGATCTCTAAATGCAGTTCTGTTTTGGTCTGTGTAAGTTTGCTTTCAGCTGTAAGAAGTAAATAGGCTGCTGCTTGCCCTGTCTGACGGTCTGCAGTCGGCATTTAGGAGTGCAGCACCAAGAGTTTGCCCCAGCTGTGCTGGTCTAGCTCAGCATCATGACTGGATGCTCAGCAAAGGGGACAGGTTGCCTTGGACCCGTTTCTGTTGCTCTCAGGAACAGTTTGAAGACAGCAGTATAAGCTGTGCTATCTAGCCTTGACATGTAAATAAAACAGTGGTACAGAAGCTGCCAGGTATTTGGCAAGGAAGGTTGATGGGTTTTGTTTTCCTTGGCATTTTGGAAAGGTTTCTGTGCTCACACTTGATAACACAGAAGAGCACAGCAAAAATGCAAATACATATTGGAAAATGTTTTGGCAGTACTTGGGAATCCCTTCAGCTATACTGTGTGTCATCTTATAGCCACAGTGACAGCAGTTTGTGGTGGCATCTCAGAATCGAGGCATATGCTGAGCCTGTAGGCCCGGAAGTGAGTTTCGGTTTCTCGCTTATCTTGCATAGAGTGCAGAGTAGCATTTAGAGCTATGAAGGCAGACTGTCCTTAGGGAAGAAACAGGAGAATGACAGAGCACAGAGGAGGAGGCAATATGGAGCAGGGTATGTTTTGATACTGCTGATCTTTTCAGCCATCTGAGTGGTGCAGATGATAGACACTTTAAAACCAGCGCAGTTATCAAGAAGCCCTTTGAGTGGCCTGTAATAGCCTTGTAGCTTACATCTTTAGTTGTGTTCTTTGTA